CTTGCTAGCATTCTTACATAAAGAGGGATTGTGTTAATTCAATGAATTTTGGAGTTGGAAAGAAATTCATCAACCTTCTCATTTATTTCAATGAACTAAGGCCCAAGAGGTTAAGTGATTAGCAGCAATCAAGAACCCTGGAGTTACATACCATGGGTAAACATAGAACTGCTTGCTGAGTGTGTCACCATGAGCAAATTTCTTACCATCACAGTTTCCTCAACTATAAAATGCAGATAATAATACCAACCCTTTCGGGATTATACAGGAGGATTATACAAAACACAAATACTTAGCAGCATCCTGTATATATGGTAAAATGGTCAATAAATAATAATTGTTATTATTGCTATTTTATCAATAGTGCCCGGCAATTAGTAAGCATTAGTAAATGCTTGCTAATGTTACTAATTAGTAACACTACTGGTTTATATTCATTACTTTTTTCTACTGCCCAACATGGCAGAGGTTATTTAAGTATTAGAGCTAGAACACGGATAGCTAAATCCTTCATCTCTTTTTCTAAAGACTTGTATTCAAGTCATGAAAACAGGATTCCCTTTCATACTAATTGGTTGAGTGGCATTAGTCAAGAATTTTGCAGGAGAAAAGAGCCACAATTTCTGTTTAATGGTAGTCTGTTTGTACCATTGTTATGCATAAAACCAAGAAGTAAGCATTGAAAGATTGCATAGCACAAATGGTGAAATATTGCAACTTCCTGAGTTAAACCAACATCTTTTTGATATAATGTCAATCTTTTGTGGAGTAACACTTTAGCAACTAGATACAAATATAAGGAAGCAGTAAAGTGCTGGGGAAGACGGCGCAAAGTTTTTTTGTTTGTTGATGTTTTTCGTTTTTGCTTTTTTGTTTGTTTGCTTTCGCTTTTTCTTTAGAACAGTGCCTCCCAAACTGTAATGTGCATATGAATCACCTGGTGATCCTATGACAATGTGGTCTGCTGCAGTAGGTCTGAGGTCTGGCCAGACATTCCACATTTCTAACAAGCTCCCACCTGATGCTGATGCCATCAGAGGACTTCAATGTGAGTAGCAAGGCAGCGCTGGACTAACTTGGTTAAACTCGTGAATGATTATAACAAAGCAGATATTTAGGAGGCAGAGCCAAAGGAGGAACAGGCAAGACTTCTGTCCCAAGGCTGAGCAGACGCTGGTAATCTCAGGCGCAACACAAACCCAGCTGCAGAGAATTGCATAGCTCAGCCTGTCTGTCTCTGGAGCCACATGCGAGATGCACATCTGCCAAGGTTTCTTGCTTTTCCTGAGAAGACATGGATGTCTCCCATCAGCAGGAGTCATTTGGATTAAGGATTACCAGAGGTACCAAGAGATAATTTAAGAGTTATTTGCATGGTATATATTCTTTCACAATTGTAAAAGACTCAAATGTTTTGGAAACTTTTTGTACATTGTTTTGCAAACTTTCATGCATCTGGAATTATTTTAAAGTGAAAAGTTTTTTGTTTTTGTTTTTTTTGCCTCTAAAAAGACTAAAATTCTGGAGTTTTCTACCTTTCCACATCTCTTGAAGATTTATATATTTTTTTCTCCTCATTGAGAATATTTTCCTGACATTTGCACTAAATGTTTGTTGCTTACTCTCATCCTAGTGTGTATTACCCAGCCTGTCGCCTCTAAGTTCTGAAGGCAGCATCAACGCTTGATCACTGAAATATGGAATCTGTCCTCTTTTGAGAAAAAGACAGATCAGAAACATCCTTCCCTGACTGCTCTAGGTATCATTTTTTTCCCACCTGAACTCCCAAAGCAAGTATAGATTATATTACACCACTTAATAATTATATTGTCTTTTATTTTTATCCTCTTTTCTGGTAAAATGCTGCTTTCTAAGATAAATTGGTCAATTTTAAAAATGGAGCTTATGTATTGCTTCTTCCGTATCTGACACTGTCTCCAGCACAAGGCTGGGCATGGAGTGGAAATAAAAGTCCTATGTGTCACAGAAGGGATTGACTTACTAAAGCAGCAAAATAGGCCTGGTGGCCTTTCTTCAAAGTCTGTCTCTTCATAACAATGAATAAGTAATCCACAGATACCGCTTTGGAAAATAGGCTTAACTCACAGTGTTCCCCTAGATAAGCATATCATCAGCCTAAGCAGAAAAACCTATCCTAAATTTATGTAAGTGTCTTAGAGTTATTGAGATTCCTATGACATGCAGTTTCAATCACAAGCTCTGGGTTCACATTCCCTTAGCTCTAAGCAGGGTCCACCTTGAGTTAAGGTAGTCACATGACTGAGCCTCAGTCTCCAACTGGTAAATGGAGATGACAAGAGTGGAGGGCTCACCTCAAAACTTCCTTGTAGATTAAATGAAGCAGTCCTCCAAACCACCTAGCAAGGGTGTTGGAACATACTTAGTGCTCAGTAAACACTCGGGCTGAGTATCCTTCCTTAGATGAAGTGAAGAAAAACGAGTATGATAATCAGAGAATTATCTAGATTAAAAAGTGTAGTCTGGTAAGCTATATTTTCAGTACGACAGGGATAAAGGAGTTGAGAAAACAAAAAGTAAGTTATGTCCTCACATCTAAATTTCCCTAGGATTGAAGAAACTTACAAGATTTGCCTCAAATGCCACTAAATTGCTGCATACCACATTAATTTTGCTCAAATGCTAGATACTTTAGAATTTCGTAATCAAGAAGAAAAGGAAGGGCGGAAAGGAAAGGAGGAGGAAGAGGGAGAGAAAAGAATGAAGGGAGAGAAAGAAGGAAAAAGGAAAGAATGAAAGAAGGAAGGGAGGCAGAGAGGAAGGAAAGAAGGAAAGAGAGAATGGAGGAAGGGAGGGAGGGAGGAAGGGAGGTCCCAGCTCCTGGGATGTTATCATTCCCTTCTGCTGTTTGATGTGAACAGTTGGAAATTTTGAACTGGTAATTAGAAAATGATGGTCGCTGAAGAAAACAGATCCATTCACCAATAAAACAAAATCACAAGGTATGTCAGAACCTCGGTTATCAGTAAGCAATTCACCAGTGCAATCAAAGAGAGAAATGTGTTGATTATTTGTTTGCACAGTGTTTTGCCTTCTGTCTCACCCTCCCCTAGGTGACAGGACCTGCACCCACACACCAGTTTGTTGTATTATTACTTCCGACAGTCCTTGACCTCATTGGCACTCTGATTTTTCATAGCCCTGTGCTGTTTAGTTCTATTCTCTCATCTTTGTAAACCTGGTGAGGTGGAAATGATTGTTTACCTTTTAGAGATGAAGAGAATAAGTTACAGTCACATTCAATCACTGTTCTCAGTTACAAAGCTCATCACTGACAGAATCCAAGTGCACAGCCACTTTCCCTACTCCGACCCAGCGCTGGTTCAAGTTCTGACCCTACTCGCCTTTAAACTCCATTACCACCTGGGATCAGCCACTGGTCCAAGTCCATGCTCTGGCTGGTTCAGCAGTACCATAGGCTGACAGATACCAAAGGATTCCATCCTCTACCAGCTTCCCCCAGGCTCTGCCTCAGGACATCCTTTCACAGCCAGCAACTAGCACCTCGGCTTAAGAAACCTGCAAGGCGAAGATGCCCCCTCCATAATTAGGCTCTGGGCTTGGCTTCCCACATCCTCAGCAGCGGAACCAGGACGGAAGAGGCTGCATGGCTGCCTGAACTGTTTGTTATTTCACTGCTGAGTTGGCAAGGATGGAGTAGTTGATTTACAATTAGAAGCAGTATGCTTCTTCAAATATTAATATTAATAACTGCACTACTGAACACATGAAAAGACCTTTTCATCTTCAAAGCACTTTGCAAACATTAACGCATTAGCTCTCCCTTCCCTCCATTCAGGAACAACAGGTGAGCGAGACTCTCAACAGCAGCAGTGGCCACCCTGCAGCCTTCGTGCACAGCCCACAGCTGTGCACGAAAGTTTTCTCTTCGGATAAAAAAAGAGGCCACGCAATCCAAAACCACAACTGATGAAAGAGTTATACTATCAGTAATTTTACAAATCAAATGGAGCTGCCAGTTATCATTTTAGATTCAATATTTCCTCCTGCTTAACAAATATCTCTTTTCTCAGTTGCACAGCAGTGGTCTAAAGTAGGAAGAAAAATGGCCTTGAGATTAAAAACAAAAACTTATCCAAAAGGTAATAAGGAAAACCTGCAATAGAATGCATTGATTTCAGTGACCCAGCACCTTTTAAGTTCGCCCGAAGAAAACGCTACTTTAAAAGGTGGCAACAGAGACCTTTAACAGTGGATGAGAAGTCACATACAAAGTGTCACAGCCAGATAAAATCATCAGATGGAGAGGAATTGCCATCGACATCTCCTGCCATGAAGTCCAGCTTTACAGTGGGGAAAAGAAACCTTCCCTGACTCTGAGACAAGCCCTGGCCACACACACACCATGTCTCAACAGCAGGTTTAAGAACTTGTAGATCCCTGGACAACTGCAAATCAGTCCCAAGACAGATTCAAAACACCAAACAGGTTAGTTTTGCTTGCAAAATTCAAACCTGTAGCACTTTCCTCTCTATTGAAAGCAATTCATTAAGCTGCTAGACAGAAAAAAAAAAAAAAAAAGTAAACCAATAGGTTTACTAGGAGAGGAGTGAAAGAGGAAAAAAAGAAATTTTTATATTCAACTTCAGCTTTATTTCTTTGGAAGTGCTCCAATTTGAAAAAAAAAAAAAATTCGGGGTTTTTGACAAGTAGTCTATGGGTATCTAAAACATGGATGGTTTTGCTTTAAGAAGCAGGTAACATTTTTAAAAATATAGTCTTGCTTTCAGACTATTCTGACAAGGTTAGCACGTATTTTTGAAAATTGTTGTTAAACAATTAAATGAGAATATAGAAAGATGTGAAAAGAGAAAGCAAAAACGCACTTGTATCTGGAATGTCCCTATCAACTTACTCCTTAATTCCACAGAATTTTTTTTTTTTTTAAAACAGGAAAAGGAAAATGGACTGAAAAGTTTTAGGCAGAAACTCACACACACCTCACTTACTGCTTTGCCGGAGAGCAGATCCTGAGTGAGCTTCCCTCAAAGTCCGTGGTCTCTTTCCAACTACCTGCGGGAATGCTCTGTTCGGTAGCTTAGGAGGATGCAAAGACCATAATGTTTCTAATAGAGCTGCCTCCTTAAATTGGGGGGTGTGGTCAAGCCAGGGAAAGCTGGAAAAAAAACAGACAGTCTTCCTCTAGCCCCTGGCACCAGGACAGCAGCCACTAGCACAAGCTCCGTGGTCTAGGTGGAAAGCAGTGTTTATTGGCGGTGGCAGCACCAAATCACACTTTGTTTTTTATTCTTCAAATTATGTTTCAACTGAATACAACTCAGCCTTGGGGAATAGCTCAGTGGGATAACATTGCATATCATCTCATCATTTGCTGATGCATTTGCTCTCTCCTGAATATGTAAATATTCATGCTTTGCGTTCCCGTGACTCTCTCAATGGAGCTTCCACTAACCTAGGCAAGGGTCAGGTAAGGAAAAGGGATAGCTTTAGAAACAGAGCTGGAGACTGTCAGCAAACAGGACATCCACCACCTAGTCACCTGCTCAGGCTTCCTGTTTCTCACTAATAACTTGATATGAAATGCGATATTTTCTAAAAGAAAGAAAATAATTTTGTGCAAGACAGCTGACTGGATAGGGACTTGGGATTTCTGAAAAGTAAAGCTAAGATTCCCTTTTTATATAAGTATGGTTTTAGGCAATCTCTAGAATAAGGTTACCTTTAGTAGCCCTGACTCTTTGTGGTGTAGGAATAAAAGGGCAGAAGTGTTCATACATTTCTCATTTAGAGAAAATGTAAGCAATATGAAAATCTTACATCTGTCCTAAGTGAAAATATACAGTATCATATTCACATATTCAGGTCTATGGTAAGAATGTTACAGCATAATCTCATTTCTATGAATGGAGTTATTACAAAAATTATTTTTTGAAAAGTCAGTATTTGACTGCTTAATCTAAGACTTGTATCCTAAGAGGTTCCATTTTCTTTGAGTAGGAGGTGGGAGTTAAAATTTGTTGTAGTTGGCTTCTTTCCCTTTTTAATGAAGATACAAACTGAAAGTCTATGAAAATCTAGTAACTGTCATTTAGAGCAACATCACCATCAGCCTTCATTGTATAAAGTTGGCAAAGCAGTTAAAATGGCATCGTAAGTAAAGCCAGATTTTACTGCTCATCTTCTGCCTTTGCACATTAAGTTGGAAGAAAGGAAGATGCAGTGCTATTGGTTCAGTTTAGTTTAATAAACTGTCTGTGCTGGGCACTTTTCTAGGCACTAGAAAGATAGCGAGTTTGCATTGTAGTGAGAAAACAGACCCATAAATCAACCATCTCCGAAAGAAAAAAAAATACATTCTATGAAAGAAGTTTATAAAAAGAGCTAGGGAAGTTTCAGCCTTCCTCTATAGCCCAGTCAATTTCAGCACACTACCCCATTTAAAGAGCCCATAGTCAATTATACCAATCATAACTAATTACAATTGTATTCACTATGTTCGCAGGATAATTTAAAAAGTTGAGAAGACTTGGGATTCTTGCTCTATAAGGGTGTGTACAGTGTGGCTACTGAGGGGTTCTGAAGTCTGGAGTTGTCTATGCTGAGTTTATATAGACAGCATCTCTTTAGGACCGCAGCACCCTCCTCTGCCACTACCTCTTATGGTGTGGAAGAACATAAACTAGAAATCCGAATGAGCAAAATAAGCCACAGCTGTCATAAATTGCCTAGCAAATGCCCAGGAAAACAGTAATTTTTGTTTTAAACAATATCTTCAAAAACATAACATTAGATGAGTATCCAAATGCAAAAGCATGGCATTGGATTCCCACCTTACACCATATTTAAAAATTAACAAAAATCTGTCAAAGATATGAACATAAGAACTAAAACTATAAAACTCTTAGAAAAAAAAGAGGAAAACTTTATGACTTCATATTTAGCAATGGGTCCAAAAGCTTGGGCAACAACAACAAAAAAATAGATGACTTAGAGTTCATCAAAATTTTTAAATGTTGTACATCAAAGGACATTATTAAGAAAGTAAAAAGGGCCAGGCGCCGTGGCTCACGCCTGTAATCCCAGCACTTTGGGAGGCCGAGGCGGGTGGATCATGAGGTCAAGAGATCAAGACCATCCTGGTCAATATGGTGAAACCCCGTCTCTACTAAAAATACAAAAAATTAGCTGGGCATGGCGGCGCACGCCTGTAGTCCTAGCTACTCGGGAGGCTGAGGCAGAAGAATTGCCTGAGCCCAGGAGGCAGAGGTTGCCGTGAGCCAAGATCACGCCATTGCACTCCAGCCTGGGTAACAAGAGCGAAACTCTGTCTCAAAAAAAAAAAGAAAGAAAGAAAGAAAAAAAGTGAAAAGGAAATCCACAGAATGAGAAAAGAAATTGCAAGTCAGAGATCTAATAAGCATTAAATACCCAAAATCTATAAAGAACTCCTACAACTCAACAGCCACAACAAATAACCTGATTTAAAAATGGCGAAAAGACTTGAGTAGACATTTCTCCAAAGATAGTCAACATCATTAATCATCAGAGAAATGCAAATTCAAACCACACTGACATACCTCTTCACATCTATTGGGATTCCTATTATCAAAGAAACAGAAAATAATGGCAAGAATAAGGAGAAATAGGAACAAGTGTGCATTGCTGCTGAGGAGGTAAAATGGTGCCGCCACTGTGGAAAACAGTGTGGTGGTTCTTCAAAACAATTAAATATGAAATTACCATTTGATCTAGCAATTCAACCCCTTCATATATAGCTGCAAGAATTGTAAGAAGAACTCAAAAAGATCTCTGCACAGCATTGCTCATAACAGCATTATTCACAATAGCCAAGAGGTAGAAACAACCCAACTATCCACAGATGAAATGGATAAGCAAAATGTGGTATATAGATAAAATTGAATATTATTCGGCCTTGAAAAAGAATGAAATTCCAATACATGCTACAGTATGGATGAACCTTGAGGACGTTATGCTAAAAGTAATAAACCAAATACAAAAGACAAATATGGTATAATTTGTGCCTAGAATAGTAAAATTTATAGAGAATGAAAAAGGGATAGATGTTAACAGGGTTGGGAAAAGGAGAATGGGGAGGTAGTGTTTAATGGGGACAGAGTTTCGGTTGGGGATGATAAAAAGGAATGAAGATGGATGTGAGTGATGGTTGCATAACATTTGAATGTGCTTAATGCTCTTGAATTTTACACTTAAAAATGGTTCAGATGGTTGGGAGGCCGAGGCGGGTGGATCACAAGGTCGAGAGATCGAGACCATCCTGGTCAACATGGTGAAACCCCGTCTCTACTAAAAGTGCAAAAAATTAGCTGGGCATGGTGGCACGTGCCTGTAATCCCAGCTACTCAGAAGGCTGAGGCAGGAGAATTGCCTGAGCCCAGGGGGCGGAGGTTGCGGTGAGCCGAGATCGCGCCATTGCACTCCAGCCTGGGTAACAAGGGCGAAACTCCGTCTCAAAAAAAGAAAAAAAAAAAAAAAAAGGTTCAGATGGTAAATTTTATGTTATATATATTTACCACAATAAAATACTGTTGTCCCAAGGGAAAAAATTATATATAATTATATATATATATATATATGGCATTAGGGATAAGTAGGCTTCCACAGAAAGAAAGCTTTCTGACTCACACGGATGATATCGGGCAAAAGAAAACGATCCTCTAGAAGAAGAAGGTATGAACTCCCGGAGAATCCCTGCACTGCACAGCGGTGGCTCCCCGTCCCCTCCCTTTGCCAGCTGTCAGAGAGGGTGTGGTAATACTGGCCCAACTTCACAGCGTTGCTGAAGTCACCATGCTGTTGGATGACTGTGTAAACAGTAGAAGCAATGCTTTTCTTTTCCATGTCCGTAGCTATTGAACTCTATGAGGAAATACCTCTGCTGATAGGACCATAGGACCATTATGATTCCCAAGGAAAATATTAAAACTCAGTGATCCAGGAACATGGGTACCTTTAGGCCCCGATGTAAAAGAGATATGCGAAAATGAGTTGCTTCTCTGAAGGAGTATCTCTGTAGCCCAGCCTAAACAATAGTAGTCTCAGCATAGTTTGGATACAATTGAGACAGGGCGTGAAGGGATTTCTAGAATAGCATTTCTTACTGTAAGAAAACCTTTTTCCTTTTCTAATTATAACAAGCTGCATTGTAAGTTAGCATGTCCTAAGAGGAAACATGGAAGTAAATTTCCAGAATTTTAGCTCTGCAAGGATCTTCAATGCTCCTACCAACACCTTTCCCTCACTGCCACCCCAAACCCCAAAAATGCAGTAGCCCTCTTCAAAACAACTTACAATAATTCTGTAAAACCACCCTCTACATGAAAAGAGTAAAGTTTGAAATGAAAATAGCATTAAATTTTAGGAAAAGCAAAACATCAGACGTGTATCGCATTTTACATATTAACTTTCCATCTCAGTTAGAAAAAAACCTTGTGATAATTCAGAAGACTGAATATATGCAGAGAAGCAGTATCTAAACAAACTACTAAAACTGAGTGGAGTGAAATCCAGATACCGTTATAAGGTGGTTGTCACCAAATATTGAAGAAAACAAGAAAATACGATGAAAGGAAAGCAAGGAGCAGAGAACCTTTGTTCCCACGCCACCTCTGGAACTTCTTAGCTTACACTTTGTAATGACTCTCTCCTTTCCATGATCAAAAGCAAAGCCTTTGTCTTGAGCCACAGATGAGGCTGCATTGGCACGCATATGTGTGCACACATCTGGCACGCAGGAGCTCATCCTTCCGTGTGTGCCAGAGAGCCTATGGAGACCCGGATTTCTTGGTGTAGTCCTCCCGTGACACCCTGATATGCTGCTCCATTAGTCCTTGGACCAACTTTCTGGTTTTTTTCCTTCCTCTCTAGAATGTGGAATGAGCTGGGCACAGCGTCCCAGCTAGACTCTCTGCAAAGTAGCTTAGCTAATGTCAGTCAAAGATTCTTCTCCATTCTGGTTCCACTGGGCCTGATGAACATCCTTTGGACTCCACAAACAGAGAGAGTTTCAGCAGAACGGACTCTTGTGGGATGTA